TAATTGCTTATGTAAGAGATACTCAGATACCAGGGAGTGCAACTAAACAAGAGTATAACTCAACTTTCTTCTTCCTGTTTGTTAGGTCTATTATTGGTAACAATTTTTTAAGTTGAACAATTTTATTAGACCAAAACATGCTGCAAAGCTGCTTATAATCTCCTTTGCCTAAAAATGAGGTCAAATGATATTAAGATACAAAAGATCACTCTGCTCAATCCTCTTCTATTTCCAGTCACACTCTGTCATCAATCCAAAAAGAATTAAAGAGAATAAAAATTTATAGATGTTCTCTTCCAATTCCAGTAATTCCCATCCTATATAGTAAAAGGCTAATATGCAAATTGTCCCCTTGGGAATGCAACCTGGAGACCTGGAGTTTGATCGCTCACTATGACGTGTGCTGACCACCAGGAGGTGGCGTGGAACATGGTGGGTGACCAGAGGTGGCAGCGGGGTGCTGAGGGAGTGAGGGAAGAAAGAGACGGGGAGGTGGGGAATTGCACAGTGGTGGCTCGAGAGGCGGTGGGGAACCTGATCGGCCCTGATTGCCGGCCAGGCCTAGGGACCCTACCTATGCGTGAATTTCGTGCACCGGGCCTCTAGTTGGTAATACAACTTAAATGCTTAACACTCACCTGGCAGACTTAACTGAAAAAAATTTCATGTTGGGCAGCTGAGATAAAATCATGACTAAATATTTGCCAATGCCACCCCCACTTAGCTATTCTTAGAATACCTCCCTCAAATAATTCCTCAAATAAAAAACTAGGTGAGTCAAATCCACATTTAAAATGTAGAAGCCAAACCCCACACCCTCAAAACACTTTGGCTGGGGTAGTAACTAAGTCTTGCGGCTGTGATCCACACTAGGGAGACTTGCTATCTGCTTTTATTTTCCCAATGAGTAGCAGATGCGCTCTTGTCAGACAGTTATGCAAGAGCTGATGGGGAGGACAAGGCATTTTAGAAAATTGCTTAAAGCAGCAATTCTTTGAGCAATACAGGCATACCTCAGAGATATTGTGGATTTGGTTTCAGGCCACCGCAATAAATCGAATCACACAAATTCTTTGGTTTCCCAGTGCTGGCGCAGGGTCTAGTCTTTAATTTGTTAAAAAATGCAGTATCTGATTAAGTGCAATAAAACAAGGTATGCTTGTATTCATATCAATACTAAAGCACAGCAGCTTATACTAACCATGCTCTCATCTGTCCTGGATATGTATTTTACAGTTTCTTGAATAAATTACCAAAAATTAAGGTCTTATGCTTGGCAAAATATGTACAATCCATAAATGTGGTGCAGTTATTTCTACCACATCTTCCCTCTTTCAATGGTAAAATGTTCTTATTTTAGGAGGTTCAACTTTCATAAGATATTGGAGACCCTAGTCTACCTACCCTATTCCTATTTGGGATTCTACTTAAGGGAAAAGAGGGAGTGGAGTGATTATGATGAAATGTTTAAAAACTGCTAGGTTAAACCAAGTTTTAAACACATACTTTATGCAGGATGTCTCAAGCCCTTTAATATGATGATGTGCATTATTATCAGTCTTCAAGGGGGTAGGAGAATAAAGTGTATAGTATGTGCAAAGCTTATGAGCTCGTGGAATCCTTTTCATGGAATATGCTGTAGGACTGAGGGTTTCATGGAATTCAGCAGTGTTCTTTAAATCTAATAATAAAATGGTATAAATGGGATTGTTAAAGAATAACTTTAAACTGAAGATTAAAGCAAAGTACAATTTTTCCTTAGATCTTTATTTTGTTTACATTTTCCCCTTTAAATTGATACACTAAACACATTGTAATAAAATGTGATGTGATGCCCTGGCTGGTGTGGCTCAGTTGGTTGAGCTTTCTACTATGCACCGAAAGGTCACAGGTTAGATTCCTGGTCAGGGCACATGCTCAGGTTGTGGGCTCAATCCTCAGTAAGGAGTGTGCAGGAGGCAGCCAATCGATGTTTCTCTTCCCTCTCCCTTCCTCTCTCTAAATCAATAAAAACATTAAAAAAATAAAATGCAGTGATATGACATGCTTGTTTTTATAAGCTAGCTTGGTATTTATGAAAAAAATCCTGTTCTGAGCTTAAAACATCCTGCTTAGAAACAAACTTGCAGAATGAGCAAAATTACCTGCACTTAGACATCCCTAGCCATAGAATATTTGTGCTTTTGGGATTTTTCCTAAATGTCATAAAATCCTCAAATAATTTCCAAATTTTCCTACTAAAAAAACCTTCAAAAACCTAAAAAATGTTACTCCTAAAGCAAAGGTTGTAAATCAAGAATCCAAATAAAGTTTAATTTGTAAGGTGTAACTTCTAAAATGAATTTTCTATATCAAAAAAGCATGGATAAAGCGGATGAAATTTATAGTTAGATCTGGAACTAAACTCTGTAATTTAGCATGTATGAGACATACACTGAGACTGAAAAACTTGGCCAAGAGCGTTTTTCTCATTTACAAAGTACTGGTAAGAATACTGCTTGCCCTGGCTGGGTAGCTCAGTTGGTTAGAACATTGTCCAATATGCCAAGGTTGAGAGTTCGATCCCCAAAGAAACCAAAGAATGCATAGGTAAGTAGAATAGCAATTAGATGTTTCTCTCTCTCAAATCAATACATTAAAATATTTTTTTAAAAAGGAATAACTGCTTTACATGGTTGGTGTGATTAGAGACCTAGCAAAATGCTGAGCAAGAGCAAATAAAAGGCTCCCAATAAATTATATCTTTTATTATTTCTATCACAACTAAACAAATTACCCTACCACAATGTAGTCCAAAATCCTCTCCCGGTATCAAGAACACTTGGCCAATGGAACATGATCCTGAGATAGCTGGGTAGCAAAAAAAGTAAAATCCACAGACAGGCAATTGTCAATCACTGTATTTTATTACAATACTAGGGGCTCTTGCACGAATTTGTGCACCTTGAAAGGAACTGTGGGCCACGAGGCTGTAGTGGGCACAAAGACTGGTCTCAGCCATCCTTCGTGCCCCTGCATGGCCCCTCCCATCGTGGCCTTCAATCCCTGGTCTGCTGGAAGCCCTGCTCCCACCGCTGCCACTCCCACACGCTGACAGTGCTGGCCCTGCTCACACCTGTTGATGGTGCAGAGCAAGCGGGGCCAGTGCCCTCTGCTGTCTTTATTGCCCCGCAGAAGCAGGGGGAGGTGGAGAATCCCTCAGGGAGATCAGGACTGGCGCTGGGCATCGGCAGTGGGTGTGAGCGGCAGCTCCATTGCCAGCAGTGGGTGCGAGCGGGGCCATCGCCAGCAGTGGGTGTGAGAGGTGGCTGCCAATACCAATTGCCCCTCAGAAGCAAGGGGAGGTGGAGAAGCCCTGAGGGGTGATCGGGGCTGGCAGCCGCCGCTCGCACCCACCGACGGTGCCAAGCAATTGGGGCCAGCGCTGGGCACCGGCAGTGGGTGTGAGCAATGGCTCCGGCACCAGCAGCTGGTGTGAGTGGGGCCGGCGCTGGCAGCAGGTGCGAATACTGGGCAGGACCATGGTGCGCAAGAGCAAATAATTTTCAGTAAACACCAGAGGCTCACCCCGATGACAGTGACTGGCACCCCGCCTTGGTCTGGTGCCTCTGCTCACCTGCTCCACCATTCTGCCACAGCCGGTGCCCACCATGTTCCATGAGCGCCCCCTGGTGGTCAGCGCACTTCATAGCAACTGACTGTTTTATTTGCATTTAGGGTTTTATATATTTAGACTAGTGGCCCGGTGCATGAAATTCATGCGGGGGGGGGGGGGGTTCCCCTCAGCCCAGCCTTCACCCTCTCCAATCGGGGACATCCCTCCTACAATCTGGGAATCGGGGACATCCCTCCTACAACCTGCCTGCCTGCCTGATGGCGCCGCTCACCTGCCTGCCTGCCTGATGGCCTCTAACCCCTCTGCCTGCCTGCCTGATGGCCCCTAACCCCTCTGCCTGCCTGCCTGATGGGCCCTAACCCCTCTGCCTGCCTGCCTGATGGCCCCTAACCCCTCTGCCTGCCTGCCTGATGGCCCCTAACCCCTCTGCCTGCCTGATCACCCCTGCCAGCCTGATCTCACCCCCACTGCCCTCCCCTGCTGGCCTGATTGCCCCTAACCCCCTGCCGGCCTGATCTCGCCAACTGCCCTCCCCTGCCGGCTTGATCGCCCTTAACTGCCTCTACCTCGGCCCCCACCACCATGGCTTTTTCCAGAAGGAAGTTGGATGTCCGGAAGATGGCCGATTGACCTGGTCTAATTAGCATATTACCCTTTTATTAGCACATTGCGTACCGCATAGAAATCTCTTAAGACATACGCCAGGGACCTCACGTTTTTGGGCAAACTGCACGTTATTTAAATCATCATAACTACAGATCATAATGCACTTTAGGTGTTGTTTTTCAATAATTATAACATTTTTATTTACAAAAACAAACAATTAAAGTTCCTAGTACTTTTTTAACGTATGGTACTGCGCAAAACATTTTCCTCTATGAAGAGGGATCAAACAAAATTTACATAAGTATCTAGATTCACTCCTTTATCCATGGGCGGCACAAACTCTGCAGGCTCGCGTAGGAAATTTTTTCTTTCCACTCGCTGGAATACACGTAGGTTCATGCTGCTTCATATCACCTGACAACCTTTTGGGTGGATCTTTACGAGGTGCTCTCCTTGCACCCCCAGGGGAAAGGGCTGGACAGATTTGTCTCTGGTTCCAGAGAGCCTTCATTATTGTCATCCGTTATCCAGTCTCTCGCCACCGATAGCAGAAACTGTTTATACTTCATTTTTGCTTGTAGATTGAGGACGTTGTACACTGTGGAATTGAAAAGTCCACAGTTTATAAGGTACAGCACTACTTTTTTTTGTCCATTTCATTGTTTTCCTTAGAATGGAACAACACGAAAGGAATTGATCTGCACGGTCAATGCCTTTCATGTGGGCATTGTATTCCTTGATGCAGGTAGGTTTTACAATATTCTCTCCCGTCTTTCTATTTTTTTTTCCTGTTGTCGAGACAGAAGTGTCATGGATCGTTGATATCATTCGGACAACCCGCTTGTCTTTCCATGCTAGGAGAAGAATATCGCCTTTTCTGGAAAATATTATGTCACCTTTCTTCATTCTTGATGTTTTCATTTTCAAATTTGGCGGTAAACCTCTACTCTCCCTAATAGTCCCACAGACTCTAGTTTTGTTCTGTAGCAGCAATTCAGCAGTAATGTAGCATTGTAATAATTATCCTGGTAAATATGGTGCCATATGCCAAGATAGGGTCCAAGGACTGAAAGAACAGTTTCTTGCAATTTCCTTCCTTCAGCAGTGTATATCTCCATATTGCAGATATAGCCGGTGTCACTCTCGCACACCATCTGAACAAGTAAACAGTATTTTGTTATTTTTGCTGGGTTGTACGTGCGAAATTTTAAATGTCCTCTCCATGGAATCATTCCCTCATCCAAAGACAACTGTTGCTTTGGTTTGTATATTGTTCGAAATTTATGCAGAAAATAATCCAGCACAGGTTGGATTTTGAAAAGTCTCCCCGAGCGACTGTCCATTTTGGCGTTATCATTGAAATGCCAGAATGTCCATATTTGCTCAAATCTATGGCGACTCATTGTCTGTGGAAATATAGGGGTACATATCAAAGGATCTGTTGACCAATAGTCTTTCAAGCTATCTTTTCTTGTTTGACCCATCAGAATAATTAGGCCAAGGAATTTCTTGATGTCCTTCTGTGTAACCAGAGACCACTTTAATGTTCTAGATGGTGTTTTGCGTTTCATTGCGGTTTGATTGTTGATAGTTGGACAGCTCTTTGCACAACATCTCAAACAATTCATCACCAAAAAAGAGATTGGTCACAGAGGGTACAGAGTCACACTGAGACGGAAATGTAGTGACCCCAGCATGACCTTCAAACATTTGTAAGCATGGTGGTGTGTTAATTTCAGACCAACAATTATCAGTAGCTTCGTCAGTGTCGGAATCACTTGAAAGCACCGCCACCTTGCACTTCCTTACAGGTCTAATAATTTCACTGTCAGTAGAATCGTCTCCGGAATCGTCAAAACAGTTATCCGCATCTTCGATCTCACTAGGAATATCTGATAAATTATCGTTAAATATTTCTGGAAGTGTATCAGTTTCGTTGGTTTCCTTCCTTTTTTCTGAGAGAGGGCATTTCTAAAAGCGCCAGGAACTTGAAGACGAAGACTATTCGAATGACCGAAATACAATGTAACTGCAATGCTTTATGGGTTCGTGCAATTATATAGTTTTTCGTAGATTGACCTGCATGGTTTCCACCAATGAGATCGCTTCATTCAATGTGGACTGTGCCGCGCCAGCACAGCCAAGGGTGTCTCTGAGTGGGGGGTGAAAGGATGAAGGAAAGACAGACAAGACAATAGTTGGGTCTCGGTGGGACGCTGCTCCCTGAAGAGGAGACAACGCCAGCGCCCACAAGCCCTGTCTTTATTTTATAGCAGATGCCACGAGGCAAAGTAGGGGCGTGATCACGTTGTTTACAGCATTCTCGTGAGTCTCAACCCTACTCAACTACATGTACCTAAACTCTATCACAAGGCACGTGGGGCTACATGTTCGGACCATAGGTTCAAGCTTACAACCACAGCCGTTGGCTACGATTGTGCCGGGAGGGCCCTGCCCTCCAGCTGGGACTTGCATGTGGCAGTGAGAGGACCCTGTCCTTTCATTAGTCCGAGGCTTGAACCTGGCCAAAACACTGTAACCGCGCCCCACAGTGGACAAGACAGTGTGTTGACATCTAAGGTCCATAACAGACGGCGCATGAAAAACCGTGAGCGGTCCTTAACAGATGGCGCACGAAACACGAGAAAACTCGTGAGCGGTACTCAGTGTGTTAGTATAGATTATATAGGATAGGATTCCTTAAATGGGGGGGAAAAGCCTTCTTCAGCAGGAGGAGATGCTCTTGGCAGACAAAAATACATAATCCCTATATCTGGACTGATAGTCAGCCATATGCACTATACTGCCAAACTGGTCATTAAAAAATTGAACTGCTTGCTTACACCTTACACCAAATAGCTGTTGCCCTTAAAAATCCCTCCATAGCCCCACCTTAGGTTCTGCCTTCGCAGTTCACCAGATTAGGTTGTGATTGGTCGGTTTCTATGCCAGTCAGCATCAAAAGCTCTGCCTCCTAGGCAACCATTGGCTCCTTGCAGTTCACCCAGATTTGGTTCTGATTGGTCAGTTTTTATGCCAAGTCAGTGTCAAAAGCTCCGCCTCCTAGGCAGCCATTGGCTCCTCATTCACCCAGATTTAGTTCTGATTGGTCAGTTTCTATGCCAGTCAGCATCAAAAGCTTTGCCTCCTAGGCAGCCATGCTCCTTGCAGTTCACCCAGATTGGTTCTGACTGGTCATTTTTTATGCCAGTCAGTGTTTCTGGGCCTATCTCCAGGCCTGATCAGAGAGGCAGGGCTGATCAATAGCCACCCCAGACTGCTGGCGAGAGGGCTGAACTGCTAATCTCTCAGAGAGTAAGAGGCTCGGCTGCTGGCAAGGTCTGCAGATCAGCCCCGCCTCTCTCTCCCCCCAAGAGGTCAGTTCAGCCCGCTCGCCAGTCCCCACCCACGGGAGCCTGCTGCACGCAGCCTGGCATTTGGTTGAGGCTTCAGTCATTTTGGACGTTACGGACTTTGGGTTTTTATATATTGGGATATTTAGTGTACCAATTTAAGAGGAAAAATGTAAACAAAATTAAAGTCTAGGGAAAAATGGCACTTCTCCTTAATCTTCAATTTAAAGTTATTCTTTTTTAAAAAAATATATTTTATTGATTTTTTAGAGAGGAAGGGAGAGAGATAGAGAGTTAGAAACATCGATGAGAGAGAAACATCGATCAGCTGCCTCCTGCACATCTCCCACTGGGGATGTGCCCGCAACCAAGGTACATGCCCTTGACCGGAATCGAACCTGGGACCTTTCAGTCCGCAGGCCGACGCTCTATCCACTGAGCCAAACCGGTTTCGGCTAAAGTTATTCTTTAATAATCCATTTACACCATCTTATTATTAAATTTTAAAGAACATCACTGCTGAATTTCAGACTAAACAATGAATGAGTAGAAATAATGACACCACAAGAGTTAAGCAGAGGAAGTAATATTGATTAAAAAGTTGAATGTAAAATCTCCCTTGGCTAGAACATTGGTAACTTTTTCCAAAGAGAAAATATAACTTGAATCATAAAGGTTCATTTTTTATATAGTCCAATACCATGTTAATTAGAAACTCATGATTTGATAAAAACAGTTTTAGTTACAATGGACTTCTAAAATCCTACTGGGCATGCTACTTGCCATGTCTTACTTTCCTGAGATAACTATCTACATTTATTTTTTTAAAAATTTTTTTATTGATTTCAGAGAGGAAGGGAGGAGGGGGATGGAAGCATCAATAATGAGAATCATTGATCAGCTGCCACCTGCATGCCCCCTGCATGGGGATTGAGCCTGCAACCCAGGCATGTGCCCTTGACTGGAATCAAACCTGGGACCCTCAGTCCACGGCTGACGCTCTATCCACTGAGTCAAACCAGCTAGGGCTCTGCATTTCTTAAAAACGAGAAATGAGTTTGCCTGTGACTGAAGTTTCAAGAAATAGTTTGGTGCTACTATTAGCTAACATGTTATAGTTAGAATACTATATCTGCAGTTCAGAAGTGCTTTGATTGGATTCCATTTTAGAAAGATATTCAAAATAACAAAAACATTCTTCTAACAGCAAATAATGTTCCCACTTTTTAAAAAATGTTTTTATTGATCTTTTAGAGAGAGGGAGAGAAACACTGATGTGAGAAACATTGATCAGTTGCTTCCCATAAGCACCCTGACCAGAGATCGAACCTGTAACCTAGGTATGTGCCCTGACTGGGAATCGAACAAGGTGACCTTTTGGATGACACTCAACCAACTGACCACACTGGCCAGGGCTCTCCCACTATTTATTTATTTGACATATTGATATTTCCATAAACTTGTAAGTGGAAGATAAGCTGTTCAATAAAAGCCATTTCATATGTACAATATACAGAAATTATTTAAAAGTCTGTTCATATATTGGATTCTTTGGGCACTAACAAAAAATTAAGATACAAATAATTGACTAAAAATGAAACTATCATTAAACCAAGAAACACAGGAACTGCACTTCATTTCAGGGGGTAAAAATCTCAATCTTACTGTGTTAGAAGAATAAAATACATTTGTCATAGTATACATTATCATATTCCCTTAAAGCAGAGAGTAAAGTTTTAAATCAAAAAGTGTTCATATTACTTATCTATACATTTAGGAACTAACTTCATATCACTAGTTACACATCATTCTCTCATCATGCAAAAAAAAAAAAAACTCAGTTATTTCCTAAGGTCTATTTAAGTCAAACAATAAACTAGTAATAGCAAATTAATTAGCAGGCTGTAAATCAGAGCGGTGTAGAAATTCTGCAGTTGAATTGTATTTCTTGTCTATAGCACTGCTGCTATTAAATCCATTTTCTCCACATATTAGAAGAAAAAAAAAGGCATTGATAGTCAAAATAAGATTTTCATTGTTACAACAAATGATAGAATATGTGAGAGAAGGAAGAGTTCCTAATGTTATAGCAATCTTTATGATCTATATATATAAAAGCCCAGGCGACTGGTCGACCGGTTGCTATGATGCGCACTGACCACCAGGGGGCAGATGCTCAACACACAGGCATAGACACATGGAACAGACTAATGAATCTCAGAGGGGAAGGAGCAGTGGGGAAGGCGGAAAGAGATTAACCAAAGATCTTATATGCATACTAGAGGCCTGTTGCATGGATTCGTGCACTGCTGTGCCCTCTCGCAATCTGGGACCCCTCAGGGGGGTCGGACTGCCAGTTTTGGCCCAATCCCTATAGGCCAGGCCGAGGGACCCCACTGGTGCACAAATCTGTGTACCAGGCCTTTAGTCCTTTATAAAGGTAAAGAGTTATTGTGTGCATATATGTGGAAAGGAGTATGAAACAAAGGCAGGTGGTTAGGACAGACATATAAAGGGAATGCTGAAACTATATTAGAATTATATTTGTTAAAAAAACTGATCTGAAGTCTGCCAATCAAGTGTACAAAAAAAGAGCAGACATTAGTGCAAGTTTAACCTGGTAATTTATTTGTGAATAAAGCTAGCTAGTTTTGGTGAGGAAAATGTTTAATCCTTTCCCTGAAAACATAAACAAACTCAAAAGGAATTTTAAAGGTAGTAGGCCAGAAAATGCAATAGTAATTCTTGTAATCTTTTTTATTTAAAGAGAAAAATCAAGTTGAAATGTGTTAAAATACTTTTCAGATTGAATATTTATCAGCCTATATAATCTGTTGTTCCAATTGGATTTTGACTTAAAAAAATTTTATACGAGCTATCACATCTAGAAGTGAAGAAAATAAATTAAATCCCCTCCCCCTTCCCAAGATATTATTTAACCTCTAAAGCATAAAAAGCTATGTAATATCTTATACAAATTAACCAGTGTTCTTAAAAAAGTAATGCAGTTTTGGACTGATGATATTATGCTGTATTTGTGGTGAAGTACTAGGCACAAGAATATATATATATATCAATTAGGCATTTTCAAGTCTAATTAGTCTCTAAAGTTATTTAATTCTTGGCAACATTGGTATGCATTTTGGTACTTAAGTCATGAATTGTAGAGAACAAGAGCAGTAAAGTATAGCAACAGGGTCTGTAGCAACAATGAGTGTTGAACAAATCTCTTCTATGAACTCTGTGATTTGTTTTGCAGTTGGTCACCTGTAGTAGATCCTGCAAAGATAAAAGAAAAACATAATTTGTTTATTGTATATTCTCAACCTGGGAACTCCCTGAGCTAAAGTTCCCTTCCACCACCATTGATGATTAACAAATAAAAGATCTAAAAAACAAATATGGTATATTTCACATAGGTAAAATAGTCTGATATGAAAGAATCTGCATACCCCCTAAATATTCTAAAGAGCAGAACTGGAGTGTCGACTTGGTGATAAGACAAAAAGGTTTCAGACTAACATTTCTGTGAGTAAATCACAGGTGGATAGCTGAGTTAATTACAACTCAAATACCCAATGCTATAAAAAGATTGGCATTTATGTTATCAAAATTATAAAATATTTCTTCAGATTCTAAATATGCTACTTTTTAAAAAAAATAAAAACAACAATAAAACAGAGGTCAGGGGAGAGGGAGGAGAAGAATAACGCTAAAAAAGTAATGGGTTCTATAAAACTTGGAGATTTTAAAAGCTGATAAGATTATTTTTTAAAACAAAAAGGGTAGAGGATAAAGAACTTTCTTCCCTGTTTTATTTTGTAGTCTTTTCTATCTTTGTATACTTTATGAAGCTAGATAGAATACATTCCTATGTAAGTAGTACTTCATCTCCACTGAAGAAAAACCAAGCATTGAGCTAATACAAATTTCAATCATTATCTTTAAATGATAAAATATACTTATGTACTGTATGTGTGAAATCTAATATCTTACAAATAGAAAGACAAAAAGAGCTATTTTCAAAAGCTGTGGTTTAAAAAAAGAAATCCCTTTAACCTTTGGCACAGTGTTGCTGGTGCAAATTCCCAGAGGCAAATAAGGTAAGTATTCACAGTGTTTGACCAGAGTTATTAAGAATTGATATTGAAAGTCTGAGCAGAAACTGATGAAAACTCATAACCAAAGAAACATTCATTTTTAATACATCAAAATAAATCACTAAGATATAGGTGGTAAATGGGAAACAAAGAACAATTAGGAGAAAGGCCAACTAAAAATGGGTAATAAATTTTAAAAAAGACATATAACAATTATTCAAAATAAAGTTTGTTCAAGTTAAATATAAGCTAAACAGGTTATAGTGTATAAAATGGAAATGAAATGCTGAATAAAGTAAACTGTATCACCCTGGCTGAATAGCTCAGTTGGTTAGGGCACCATCCCGATATGCCAAGGTTTCAGGTTTGATCCCAGGTTAAAAATAAGCGAGACAACAAATTGATGTGTTTTTTTCCTCCGTCTCTCTCCATTCCTCTCTTTCTCTAACATCAATAAATAAAAATTAAAAAACGAAACAGAAAACAAACTATACAAAAGGCTAAATAAAGCCTAATATGGAATATCAAAAAATACTGTAATAATATTTTTATTATGAGACACAGTTATCAGATTCTATCACAGAAAACTGATATTTCACATATGCTCACCAAAACAATATCATAATTTACTTTCCTAAGACTTAGCCATCCAAAGCACAACAAATAAAGTTACATCTCTACTGAAAAGTATGTTTGCAACTACAAAGAGTAGGTAAAACAGGCACAACATCTGTATTAGTAGTGTAGAAGATTCACCTTCATGGAATACCAAAATAACAGCTTGTTAAAAACAAATAAATAAAACTATTTCCTATGACTGATCAAGAGTTGGTAGGCTGCAGGGGCAGACTGTCTGAGACTTAAAAAAACAAAACAAGCCCTGGCCTGTGTTGCTCAATGGTTAGTCAGCCTGAGCACTGAAGGGTCAAGGGTTCAATTCCTGGTCAAGGGCATGTACCTGGATTGTAGGTTCCATTCCTGGCCCCGGTTCAGAGCATGTGCAAGGGGCAACCAACTGAGAGACACATGATGTTTCTCTCTCTCCCTCTGCCCCCTTCCACTTTCTCTAAAAAAACCAATGGAAAAAATATCCTCAGGTGAGGATTTATAAAAAACCAATTAGCCGGCTGAACCAGTTTGGCTCAGTGGATAGAGCGTCGGCCTGCGGACTCAAGGGTCCCGGGTTCGATTCCGGTCAAGGGCATGTACCCTGGTTTCGGGCACATCCCCAGTGGGGGGCGTGCAGGAGGCAGCTGATCGATCTCTCTCATCGATGTTTCTAACTCTCTATCCCTCTCCCTTCTTCTCTGTAAAAAATCAATAAAATATATTTTTTAAAAAACCCCCCAAAACCAAAACCAATTAGCCAAATAACCTGCCAATCCAACAGTCAAAAGAATCAACACTGAAAACATATCATACAATTTGTACCCAAAGGGATATTAAATCAAATCTTCCATATTGAAAACATTTCTTTTAAAGTTTAAACCTTAATTTAGATTATGAAATATCAAACAGGATCTAAAACATTAAAAACAAAATACAGCTTAATATGAAGACAAACATCATTGTTTAAAATCAAGTAAACCAAAACACATTAATATATAAAATATGGTCTTAAATCAACTCTTGGCATAAAAAACTTTATTATTTTGAGATTGGCCACAGGTGTTTAAATTTTAGAAACTTTTGGCATAATTGAATGCCAGCAAAATATTCTGAGGTTCTTCAAGTTTAAAGCAAAATAAAGTCTATTAGGCACAAAGGATTACAAGAGTCTCAGGAATATTTCTTAAACATCTAACCTTGATTTGATTCTTCCATATGCATACTTTCCCCAGTTGCACTCTCTAACATTTCTTCATCTTCATCATCTTCATGTAGGTCTTTTGAAATTAATTGCCTAGCTAATTTCATATTCAGTCCTTCATTGTAGTGAAGCTTCCTTTTCATTTCAAACTGTCGCTTTTTTTCTATAAAATACAAAAAATAGGCTTAGGAAGTCTTTAGCTCAAGGACTGGCAAACTTTACAGCCTATATCTGTTGGTACTGCTGGAACACAGTGATGCTCGTTTGTTTTTGTAATGTGTAAGGTTGCTTTTGTGCTCAAAGGCAGAGCTGAGTAGCTGCAATAGAACAATATGGCATAAAAAACCAGAAGTATTTACTTTCTAGCCTTTAAAGAAAAAGTTTGTCAATTTCTGCTTTAGATGGTTCAGGTATATCTTAATTGGAATACAAGAATAAAGCCATTTAGTAGCTCTATTTGTGAAGAAAATTTAAAGATATTGAAAAACTTTCCAGAAAGAATTGAATAGGGGGGAAAAGCAAACTATAATACTGTGTGTTTGTGTGTGTATTGACAGTCTGAGTAGAAACTGATGAATACTATGTAGAAGTATTATATACAAAGCCTGCATGTATGTGTATGCATACATATGGAGAGAAAATAAGACTCAATAAGTAACAGTGGCTAATTCTGGGCCAAGAAACTATGGAATAATTTTAATATTTTCAAGTTTTTATTTTTATAATTAAGAAAAAATTTCTTTAAGAAATTCTTACTATTCATTAAGAAATTACTAGGATTTTAAAAAATGCTGGCTAAAAACGCAACCTCATCCCCAGAGTAATTTTAAGAAAAACCTATTATTAAAGTTATTATATAATTATGGACTATTCTTTTATTTATATTCACCATAGAAACATTAAACAAGCAACAAATAAACATAGCTGATCATAATTAATAGACAGCATTTTAAAGATCAACTGTTTATGAAGAAATAAGTCTAAGATTTTAAAATTTCTTAGACCTGTCAATTAAAAAAAAAAAAAGGGGGTTGATATAAAATTGCCAACTATTTATTTTGTCAAACAAGAAAGCATTCAAACTCATTCACCATAGTTTTATTATGGCATTCATAAAAATATTTTAATGCCAAAAAGGCATAAAAAAATAAAAATCTCTCAGAATATAGCTATTCAAAGTACTTCCTCAATGTCCTCTAATTCCAAGTTTTTATCATTATGTATACTTATGTTTTACAGGCATTTATAGTTCATGTCACCACTCATCAATCACTTTCAGGAAAGTTCTGAGACCAACATCCATTTCAGCATTCCATAAAGATCTTGCCAAGTATCTTTCTTCTTCTCTGCTTATAGATTCTTTTGTGATTTGTTTTACTTTTTCAGAGTACCATATTGTAAAGAGGAATGAAATTAAGAAAGAAAAAAAAAGACCATTAAAGAGACCAAGTTCTCATGACTAAATTTTTAGTTATGCCTTTAAAGTATTCAGATGATGTAGTACAAGGCAATATAAAAAAATAAAACATTCTAATTGCCTCCAATACCATATAAATTTACTAAAAAGGTAACACTTTTTCTCATTACAAAGTAACACAATTTCATGAGAAGCATAGTAAAATTCTGCCATGTACAGAGGTTTACATAATTTAAAAATGATTATAGGAGAAACCAAGATGGCGGCATAGGTAAACACCGGAGATTGCTGCCTCGCACAACCACTTCAAAAATACAACTAAAAGACATAACGGACATCATCCAGAACCACAGGAAGGCTGGCTGAGTGGAAATTCTACAACTAGAAGGAAAGAGAAAAGCATACCGAGACTCAGAGGAGGTGCAGTGCTGAAGTAAATACAAAGGTGCGGAGGTGCATGTGGAGAGGGCTGGAGGCTGAGGACATGATTGTCTTTTTCAATTGGGAGGGAGTCTCAGGCTCTGAGCTCCAGTTCTGGGCGAGTCTCTGGGGACCCAGACTCATATGGGAGAAACGGGACTGTCTGGCATCGGTCGGAACTCGGGGGCAGCTTTCTCTCGGAGGCACTCGCAGCGATTGCCAGGACCTCTGAAGGCAGGACTGAGAGCAGCCATACTGCTGGCTCGCTCGGCCCGTCCTGTTGATCCCCTGGGACCCGTCCTGCCCAAGCCGTGCATGGAGGCTTTTGCATATGAAAGGCTCGGCCCTTTGCAGAGTACAAGGGCATTCCGGTTTCAGGCCCAGATGTAATAATAATGAACTAACCACATGGACTAGACAAGTGAATTATTCTTTTTATATTTCCTTTTACTATCCTACAAACTAATATAATGGAGAATATACCAATTATTTTAAGTTCTTAAAAGTTAATATTTACTGAGCACTTATAATATGCCAAGAAGCAGTGCTAAGTGCTTTAAATTCTTTATGTAATTTAATACCAATGGCTCTCAATATTTCTAAAGCTCCCGATTCATAAATGAGGAAATGTAGACTCAGAGAAATTAAGCAAATTAGACAAGTGACATATCTGGAGTACAAACTTAGATCTGTCTGACTCCATGGCCAGTATCTTAATTGTTATGCTATCAGTTACAAGACAATTTTTTCTAAAAACTTCTGTCAATAAACAAGGCTTTTTATAAGACATGTAATTTGTTTATAAGTAATAAACATCTATACCTATATATGCATCAGTAACTCTACTAGTAAAAACTGAACATGTGAAATTGCCAATTACTCAATAGTTCCCCCTGCTGGCTAATTCCCAGAAGTACAATTTAAGGAAAAAACCCTTAATGAAAATTGTCAATATAAGTTAATCATAAATTCCCTGTTCTCAATAGATCATATTTTTAGAGAATAATGAAAAAAACAAGATATAGAATTTCTATCTGAAACCCTTTTAAGGGCCTTTTGGGGTATATGTGGGGAAAATTTAAGTCAGGAAGTCACTGTGGGTACAAAAAATATAATACAACTTGAGATTATGCTATGACAATTAGGCTCAGACTATCATAATTTCATTGAATAAGCTATATTCTAAGGATGTGAGGAAGAAATAACAAATTATACCTTAGCAGCTGCCTATGACAAAGATTCTGAACTTCTTTTACAATATGTAGTCCCCACATTTCAAAGCTCTAAGTACACTACTACTCTCTTTTTTTTCTTTTTCTGAGGGTATGTGGGTGTTTCTTGCATCTTTTTTTCCTACACATAGGCTTATGGTTTTTTCCTTTTGAAAATAGTTTAAAATAAATTATATAAACAATTTTTAATTCTTAAAACGATTATACATTCATATGATTCAAAAGGTATAAAAAGCAAGGTGAAATATCTTCCTTCTCTCCGAACCTCCATACATAACCACTGTTACTGCAAAAACAGAAACAATGAGTAGATAGCAATGCCTTACTGTATATGTGCTATATGGGCTACAAAGGCCTTTTCCATCCTTGTTGAGAGGTTAGCTTTATCTTCTTTCCTATGACACGATCATTCTTTGTACGATGGAACCTAATAAAAATCTTCTTACTATGCCTGACTATCTGGAATTATTAAGTTTTTCTGCCTTGAAACAGAAAAAGCACAAACAACTGGGAAATTAGCTTTTATTTCTATCCACTTTAAAACCATCCAAACACTCAATGACTCTAAAAGCGTTAATCTAGTAAGTATTTACTGAGCATCTACTCTATGCCAGGCACTAAAAAAGTACAAAGGAACATCAATAATTACTTTAAAGATGGCAATATTTTCCCAAATTCTTGATATCGAGGTGGAAAAGACTGTCAATACAATAAACACACATAAGTAGAATTTGAATTTAAAAATGTTGCTCCCAATCTCTCTCATCCACTTTCCAAAAAGGAAAACCATTTTACAATCTTCCAAATAATGGGTTTATTTTAAGCAAAAATTATTAGCATAATGCTGAAAGCAGAACAGGAAATAAAACTACCTTGTTCTTCAGGTGAGAGGTCACTGTCTTCATCTTCACTGCTTTCTTGTACATGAACCTGATACTTTGACTCCGTGCCTTCAGCAGCAGCTAATCTAAACAATCATGTGCAAAGAAATCAACACTCTGATATTCTTATATTAACTCAGTGACTTGTTTAACTTTTGAGTACCATTAAAACATCTAAAGATCATTAACATACTAGCTATAACTTGATGAGGAAAATAAAAAGCAAGAAGAGTGAGATGGGTGTAGAAACCAATACGCAACAAGAAGACTGGAGGGTGAGAAATCAATGAACAGCCAAGAAATAGAGCTTTTGTTTAGAAATGCAATTATTTTTGCCTTCCTCACATTCATCTTTAAAACTCAGGAGGCAGCAATATTAAAAAAACAAAACAAAAAAACCACAATCAGTGTACTAGGCTCTGGTACTCTAATCTTTCTGTCACCTGCATACCTTGATTTTAATCTAGAAACAAGACTATAAAAGTTGTTACGAAAAATCCAGATATACTTAGCACATGCTTTTTATTTATACTTGTACAAGTAAAATGCCTTTAACTCTGCACAATTAAAAACAGCATAAGTGCCCTGGCTGGTTTGGCTCAGTGGATAGAGCATTGGCCTGCGAACTGAAGGGTCCCGGGTTCGATTCTGGTCAAGGGCACATGCCGGGTTGCGGGCTCGGTCCCGGGTGGGGGGCTTGCAGGAGGCAGCCAATCCATGATTCTCTCTCATCATGGATGTTTCTCTCTCTCTCTCTCTCCCTTCCTCTCTGAAATCAATAAAAATATATTTTTAAAAAAACCAGCATAAGTGAAAATGCTTTATAGTCATCAGTACTTACTTCTTAGCTAATGTATCTGGGGTCAGGGCTTCAGTAGTTTCTGAATCACTCAATGCATCTTCATCATCACCTATCATACTAGGACAACAAGCAGATTATAATTAATAATGGAACTATAATTTTTCAGGCAGAAAAACAAGGTAAATATAATCCAATTGACTTACTTAAAATATCAAGACATTTATAGCTCTGTTGGTCATCTTTGAAGTTTAATTTTAGTTTCAATTCAACGCAAATATTTAAAAGTAAATGATTAAAAAACAACAACACTACTGCAACCATGAAGATAAATATTGAAAATTCAAACCATCTGAAAAAAATACTTCGATTATTCCATCCAGTGGGGGTGGGAGGACAAATAATGCAAAAACAAACAAACAAACAAACAAAACCATCTCACTGTCTATTTTACAATATGTACTGTTACATAACCTGAAGATGAGACAAAGGGATCTACGCAGACATAAGGTTAGGTAAAATAACAAAATTGGACCCTAAAGACCTCATTCAGGAAGTTTTAAACGCTATTTAGCTTTCTAGATCTACCCTCTAATGAAATATTTGCTCCCCACTTAATTGCAAAAATGGGCATCTTTAATTTTCAAGCCACTGAAAAGTACATAAAACAGAATTTAGCTATATAGAGAGAGATATAAATATATACCTATATATCTATATATCTATATGACGTATACCTTTCCTGGTTTGTTAAGGAGGCAAGTTAAATAAGTGCTATGGTTTAAATGATGCTCTTTTTCCAAGTGAAGTTGAAATAAACTCATTTACATTAAGCAGAGGACAGAATAATCTATCACTTTGTAGAATCTTTTATAAAAAATCTAGGCTTTGTTATAAAATTTACAGATGAATTATATGTTTGTGTATATGTACACACACACACACACACACACACAGTGGAGCAAAAGTAGGTTTAGAGTACACGAAACAGTTTATTTTTGTATTATTATTTATTGTCTTATTTTCCATACAAACAACTATAAACTTACCTTTTTATTTTTATTCCTCACCTGAGGATATTTTTCCATTGATTTTCAGAGAGAGTATATGGGGATGGGGAAAGAAAGAAACATTGATGTGAGACACATGTATTGGTTGCCTCCTGCATGTGCCTGAATGGGGCCAGGAATTGAACCTGCAACCCAGGAACAGGCCCTTGACTGGGGATTGAACCCGAAATCCTTTGATATGTATGGGCCAACACTCATCACTGAACAACAATGGCCAGGGCTATAAAAAGCATCTTAAAGGAAAAAAAAAAAAAGCTCTTTAAGAAAAAAAGAGCTGGTAAAACTGAGCACCACATCCAGAAAACCTAAGCACATACATCTGTACATACACACAGCCTCAATCATTTAGGGACCAAATAACTTTAGAGACTCTCAGAGGAAGAATATGGGTAAGGTAGAGAGAGAGAGAGAGAGAGAGAGAGAGAGAGAGAGAGAGAGAGAGAGAGAGAGAGAGAGAGAAAAAAAAAAAAAAAAGCATATCTACCTGTGGAGAGCAGCTGCAGTGTTGGGACTGGATCAAGCCTCGGACTGACTTGTGGCAAAGCCACATAGAAGTCCCAGCTTGGAGGGCAAAGCCCTCCCAGCACAATTATAGCTAAAAGGCTATGGTTGTAAGCTTGACCAGTCCGACCCTGCAGGCCTAGGTAGCTAAGGGATGTGGGCTACAGGAGTGGTGGGGGGTGGGAGGGGGGTGACTCTGTGTGTGTGTGTGTGTGTGTGTGCGCGCGCGCGCGCGCGCGCTACAAGTGCTGCCTAAATAAAGCTTGATAGAGTTCAGAGAATGGCAACAACAGGAAAGAAGCAGATTTGAAATTCACAAGAACATTTTAAACATCTTGCCTTTGTTTTGCTTTTGTGATCTGACTATAAAATAAAGCTTCAGCTTACAGGCTGTGTCACTGTTTCCTCATCCAGGCACAGTGATCTACCTGGTCCCAACTATATTCTCTTGTGTGTCTTCTTTAATCCTTCACCGCCCTTCCTCAGGTTCACCACTGGCCGTGGTTCATCTACCATTCTGATTTACTATATTTTAAATATATAGCCTAAAAATAATGAGTACAGCTATTTTTTGAATTATGTTAGATCTAAAGTCTTTCAGGATAGTTATCTCCAAAACAGGTAAATAAGGGGTATCTACTACTTTTATTTTTACTTAATTTTAATTTTCTGTTTCAATTACAGTTTACTTTCAATATTATTTTATATTGGTTTTAGGTATACAACATAGTGGTTAGACAATCATACTTTACAAAGTGTTCCCCCTGAAATTTCCAGTACCCACCTAGCACCATACATATTGACTATATTCCCTATACTGTACTTTTATATCCCTGTGAAAGAAGTGAAGGGATTAAGAGGTACAAATTGGTAGTTATAAATAGTCTACTACTTTTACTGAAAAGGAAGAAAGCCCCAACTTTGGCTTCTGGTACAATAAACGTTTTAAGGTAGGTCTTAAAGTATATCTGTAATTAGGAGAAAACAATATAAACTTTTCATAAGTAATATGTCTATTTTTTCCCTCAAGTTTATTAGTATTAGTGTTTCAGTATCTGTACTTATTTCCTTATTTCTTTCTACCCTTGCCAAAATCATGTTTATTCTTTTTACTGTTTTTATCAAGTTATCTCAACTTTGCTTCTTCCAAAGATTTCATCCACTGATTTAAAACAGAATTTCTTAACTCTATTTTAACAATAACTTCCAGATTTATGAACTTACACTTCAATGACAAAATATTTCAGTCCTGAAAATCTTTATTTTTTCAATACAAGTTAAGGCATGCTCTGCGTTAGGTATTTCTACTTATTTACAACTCCATCTTCTCAAAATGCTTATTGGCACATTATTTTTGTCTTTATACTAATCACTGCCACACACTATGACTTTAAAAATTTTGGAAGACTCAAAATTGCCAACAATAACAATGCAATGATCTAAACTACAATATTATGTAAGTAAAAAATAAGGACACCAAACAGTAGTAATGACCACTTGCCTTTGAATGGGTTAAAAAATAGTTAACATCTGTGAAGTTATCTTCTGCAAAGAGAGTAAGTCCTGATTTCTATTTTGGAAGCAAACAAGCCCAATTTTAAAGTTACATATTAGTTATATTATTACACAAAATATGCAATTGGGTTATTAATTAGCGCTCCAGTAACAAATATAAAAACAAATTCAAATCAGCTGTTATCCAGAAGTTCATATCAAATGCAAAATGTAAACAAGTCAAAAAAGGAATGATGTCTACAAAACATTACCGGTGGTATGGAGTGCTTGGTTCATCTATTTTCATTAAACCATAGTCTTTGTCTGCTGGATGATATGTCGCCAGGATGTTCATTTCATCCCACTTCTGGGATTTTTTACTAAAATTAAAAGCAAAAGAAAAAAATGTTCCTCAAAGCAATAAAAGATAAAAAATGTGCACATCTAAAATTCACAAACATCTAAAAATACGTTTTTATTGATTTTTAGAGAGAAAGGGACAGGGATAGAGAGATAGAAACATTGATGAGGTAGGAACAGTATCGTAGGCTGCCTCCAGCACATACCCCTATACTGGGTGGGGATAAAGCCTACAATCAGGGCATGTGCCCTGACCAGGCAACCTTTTAGTTCCTAGGTCGACACTCAACCGCTGAGCCATACCGACTGGGTTAAAATTCACAAATATCTAAATCCCACATTTCAGTTTCTAGTTGACTGCTAACTTCTATTTTTACAGCTACTTTATTAGAATAGAAACTGATTTAGGAAAAAACCCTTAAGTCATTAAAATAAAATCTTGGTAAATATTTTATAAAATACTTAGTGCCCACATATTAAAAACATATTATTCGGAATCTTCACCAGGCATTCAAAACACACTATGACATATTTAGTCTTCACCTGATCTACAGAATTAAAACAGTAAAAACTGAAATTTATACATTGTTTGATCTCAATAGTTAAGGATTTTTGATCTACTATATATTAGTAACAGTGTGATTAAAAATATCAAACAGGAATTTTTTTTGGCCTAATTTTTTCAGATATCCATGCTAATCAAAAGAATCAGGCTTAAAAAAAAAAAAAAGAATCAGGCTTGCTCTCCCTCCCAGGAGCACACCCACACGCTGCCCCCCTCCTTTTTCCCCACAGGTATGCATCTCTTAAACTCTAAGGGACCCCGTGAGGCTTGCACACAGGGCAGCAATGGGCAGCCGCAGTTCATTCCAGGCAAACTCCCTGAATCTATTCTCAAGGCCCCTTGTTCTCTGAATTCTTAGTGAACCAAAGCAGCCTACCTAGGCTCATTTCCCCAGCCTTTGTTTCATTGTCACCAGCTTTAATAAACGATCTCTAACATTCAACAAAAAAGTCAGAACATTAAACGATAGGGAAAAACTTCATTAATTTCACATATCACTAAATAAAGATATAGGTTGCAAAAAAACAAAATTATAGCTCTATTTTTTAATCTAGAAAAATAAGGTTTTGCTCAGAAATGGAATACAGCAGTCCCCCCTTATCTCTGAGGGACACATTAGAATGCCTGAAATTGCAGATAATACTGAACCTTATATATACTACTATGTTCTTCCCTGTATATACATACTTATAATAAAGTTTAATTTATACTAGTAAACTCGGCACAGTAAGAGATCAATTATAACAATATACTGTGATAAAAGTTATGTGAATGTGGTCTCTCTCAATATATTGTATTCATCACCTTTCTTGTGATGATGTGAGATGACAATGCCTACCTAATGAGATGAACTGAGGTGACGAATGTAGGCATTGTGATATAGCATTAGGCTACTATAAGGGTTGCTTGAACAAAAGCACTGTGATACCTGAACAGCTGATCTGATAACCAAATGGCTACTAAGTGACTACAGGCAGGTAGTGTACTAGTATACAATGTGAATATGCTGGACAAAGGGACAATTCACACTGAGGTTTCATCATGCTACTTAGAATGGTGCACATTGAATTGTTGAACATTTTTTTCAAGTCTCTTGGCCGTTTATTTGTATGCCCGCTTTGGGCAAGTGTCTATTCAGGTCCTCTGCCCATTTTTAAATTAGATTGTCTTCCTTTTGTTAAGTTGTATGAGTACTTTATATATTTTGGAAATTAACCCATCAGATGTATCATTGGCAAATATGTTCTCCCAAACAGTGGGTTCCCTTTTCATTTTGATGCTGGTTTCTTTGGCTGTGCAGAAGCTTTTTCGTTTAATGTAGTCCATTTATTTATTTTTTCCTTTGTTTCTCTTGCCCTAGGTGATCTATAGGTGAAAATTCTGCTACAGGAGATGTCTGAGATTTTGCTGCCTACGTTTTCTTCTAGGATTTTTATGGTTTCACGACTTACATTTAAGTCTTTTATCCACTTTTAGTTTATTCTTGTGTATGGTATAAGTTGGTGGTCTAGTTTAATTTTTTTTGCACGTACCTGTCCAATTTTCCCAGCACCATTTATTGAAGAGACTCTCTTTACTCCCGTATACGCTCTTGCCTCATTTGTCAAATATTAATTGAGCATAATGGCTTGGGTCAATTTTTGGGTTCTCAGTTTTGTTCCATTGATCTATATGCCTATTCTTGTACCAGTGCCAGGCTGTTTTGATTAACAATGGCTTTGTAGTATAACTTGATATCATCTTTTGATACCTCCAACTTTGTTCTCCTTTCTCAAGGTATCTGCAGCTGTTGAGGGTCTTTTTTTTTGGTTCCATATACATTTTTGGAGTATTTGTTCCAGATCTGTGAAATATGTCATTGGTATTTTAATAGGGATTGCATTGAATCTATAGATTTAGATCACTTTGGGTAATATGGACATTTTAATAATGTTAACTCTTCCAATCCATGAACACGGTATATTCTTCCACTTGTTTGTAGCTTCCTCTATCTCTTTTATCAGCGTCCAGTAATTTTTCGAGTACAGGTCTTTTACTTCCCTAGTTAAATTAATTCCTACATTTGCTTATTTATGTATTTATTTACTAGAGGCCCGGTGCACAAAATTTGTGCACGGGTAGGGTTCCTAGGCCTGGCTGGTGAATAGGGCCTTCCTTCATTCCGAGCTGTCCCCCCCTGCCCCGCCCCCCAGTGGGTCAGCGCACACCTAGTGATCCAGTAGAACCCGTCCAAGGATAATTTGCATATTAGCCTTTTATATATATAGATTTGCAATAATAAAAGGGATTTTTTCTTTTCTTTTTCAGAGAGATCATTATTGGTGTATAAAAATGCCATTGATTTCTGGATATTTTTTTGTATCCTGCTACTTTGCCGAATGCGCTTATCAAGTCTAGTAGTTTTTTTTTGGTGGATTCTGTAGGGTTTTCCATGTGTAATATCATGTCATCTGTGAATAATGACAGTTTTACTTCCTCCTTGACAATTTTAATGCCTTTTATCTTTTCTTCTTGTCTGACTGCTGTAGCTAGAACTTCCAGTGCTATGTTGAATAAGAGTGGTGAAAACAGACATCCCTGTCTTGTTCCTGTTCTTAAGAGAAACACTTTTAGTTTTTGCTCCTTGACTATGATGTTGATTTCAACGTCACTAATCATCAGAAAAATGCAAATTAAAATGACAATGAGGTATCACCTCACACCTGACAGAAGGGTTACCATCAATAAGTCAACCAACAAGTGCTAGTGAGATTGTGGAGAAAAAGGAACCCTAGTACACTGCTGGAGGGAATGCAGACTGGTACAGTCACTATGGAAAACAGTGTGTTTTCTTAAAAAATTAAAAAATGGAACTGCCATTTGATCCTGTGATCCCACTTCTAGGAATATATCCTAAGAAGCCTGAAACACCAATTAGAAAGAATGTATGCACCCCTACGTCCATAGCAGCATAATTTACAATAGCTAAGACCTGGAAACAGCCCAAGTTTCCATCAACAGATAAGTGGATAAAAAAGCTGTGGTACATTAACACAATGGAATACCATGCAGATGTAAAAAAGGACCTCTTACTCTTTGGGACAGCATGGAGGGACCTGGAAATTATTATGCTAAGTGAAATAAGCCAGTCAGAGAAAGACAAATATCACATGACCTCACTTATATGTGGAATCTAATAAATAACATAAATTGATGAATAAAATAGAACTAGAGGCATGGAAACATGGAACAGACTGATGAATCTCAGAGGGAAGGGTGGTGGTGGTGGGGTGGCAGGAAGAGATTAACCAAAGAACTTATGGCATATATGCATTGCCCATGGACACAGACAATAGAGTGGTGAAAGCCTGTGGTGGGGTGGGAACTTTGTGGAGGGGAGCAATGGGGGAAAAAGGAGGGAAACATATGACATATGTAATACTCTTAACAATAAAGATAAAAAAAGAAATAAAAATAAAATTTATGAATTATTTCTGGAATTCATTTAATATTTTTGTTTTTAAAATTGTATTTTTAAATTGTGCTGTTTACATTCAATATTATTTTGTATTAGTGTCAAGTTAACAGCACAGTGGTTAGACTTTACAAAGCATTTCCCCCAGTATTTCCAGTACCCCTGTGGCGCCATACAGAGGCATTACAATATTATTGACTATATCACTTATGCTGTACTTTACATTTCCATGACTACTTTGTAACTACCAATTTGTATTTCTTTAAAACTTTTTTAAAATATATTTTTATTGGTTTCAGAGAAGGAGAGATAGAAACATCAATGATAAGAATCATTGATTGGCTGCCTCCTGCACACCAACCTGTTCGATCTCCTACTGGGGATCGAGCCCACAACCCAGGCATGTGCCCTTGCCCAGAATCAAACCCAGGACCCTTCAGTCCACAGGCCAATGCTCTAACCACTGAGCAAAACTGAGTAGGGCCCAATTTGTATTTCTTAATCCCTTCAACTTTTTTCAGCCAGTCCCCTAACCGCCTTACCCTCTGGCAACCATTAGTCTGCTCTCTGTATCTGAGTCTGTTTCTATTTTGTTTATTTTGCTCTTTAGACTCCACATGTAAGTGAAAGCATATGGTGTTTGTCTTTCTCTAATGGACTTATTTCACTATGCATAATACCCTCTAGGTCCATCCATGCTGTCTCAAATGGTAAGGTTTCATTCTTTTTTATCGTCAAGTTATATTCCATTGTATATATATGTAACAATCTTCTTTATCCACTTGTCTATTGATGAGTGCTTGGGTTGCTTCCATATCTTAGCTACTGTAAATAACATTGCAATAAACATAAGAATGCATATATTCTCTCAAATTAATATTTTTGATTCCTTTGGATATATTCCCAGAAATGCAATTGCTGAGTCTCAAGGCAGTTCCAATTTTTTTTCTTTAGGATCCTCCATACTGGTTTTCATAGTGGATGTACCAATCTGCATTCCC